TTCTGTTCAAAATGAATAAACCTCTATTACATGGTAATTGCATGTACTCGAAACAGGTTGAAACGTACGATTTCAATGCTTAAATCAAGTATAAAAGTCGGCCCATAAATGGTCGCCTGTGTAAAGCTCTCCAATTCAAGAATTCATTGAGCAACCCTAAACTGCTTAAATCAATACTTTTTGAACTTAAGTTAACATCAATGTTTGTCATAATTTATGAGAAACAATGTTAACTATCCAGAAAGTACATGACTTTGTCGTTGAATTGTTCAGGAACGGTATGTCTGGGCGTAATACATTTAATATGAAAACTGAAGACATGGTTGCGGTCTACATAACAAGATATAGTGTGCGGCGATTGTTCTTATTCAGCATACGTGAAGTGACCTCAAACATGCCAAAAACTGAAATATAGCATACTTTGGGTGTGATTATATCCTGCAATAAGCATCGTAAGATAATGAAGTATCGATGTTGTTGTACACGATACCATGTTCTCGCGTTGATCGGCGATCGTTGAGCCACGAAGCAGCACATTAAAGACGTCAACTTCAAATATACCGTAGCGTAAAGATGACAAAAAATTATTGTCATCTTGAGCTACAATTTATAGCATGCATTGTTATGTTATAACTTTTCAACATTTATGAATAAATGTCATATTTTTAAAAGTTACGCAACCGTTCTGTGTCCACTCCAGCAACTCAGCACAATCGATTGAGGAAGGTGTCAATCCTTGAAAATGGAAATTAAAAGTAACGTAGATTTCCAATTTAAGAGACATGGGACAATTTAAGGGACATAGGATTCAGCCAATCACCCTACCTTGAAATTTGTGTAGAAATACCTCTTTAAATCAATGTTCTTCATAATCCCATGTGTTTTATATAAATCAATTAACCAATTGGCTCTATAAATACATAACCTGTTGAGGTTGCATATGTACCTGACAGAATATTATACCCTAACCACGAAAAATATATGCATGGATCAATACTACGATCACGCTTAAAATATGTCTCTTAAATTGTCCCCTACTTTTGAGGTGTTTCTGCTTAGAAAATGGGACATTAGGACATGATAGATACTATGAAAATTGATGTTTCAGTGCTTGTTAGAAATACCTGGGTTTCCTGTTCAATTATCAGTTTTCAGAAGTCGAAACCCATTCCTCAGTGCCGAGCTGCTTCCATTTCCCGGCAGCGACTCCAAAATTTGTCTCTTAAATTGGAAATCTACGTTAGTGCACCGCTGTTTTCTCCTCAGGCTGAACACGATTTGATTCTAGCGTGTTGTATGACAATGTACTACCATATCGTTTGAGGATCGAAAAGTTGACCTTTCCTGCAGCCTCAGGGTGGAGGTACTCTAAGCCCACCACAAATTTGAGAGGCACAAAATCCAACACCTGCGACGTCGTGAAACGATAGGACAGCGAAAGATCCTTTGTGGCTGCTAAACCTATCTTTTGTCAGCAGCACGTGTGAATGGATTACACCATCGAAATTGCATCCCTCGTTCACCATTCCGTTTCCCCTCATGTTGGACAAAATTTAACCGGATACAATTCATGGCGGTGAGAATTAAAGGAGAAAAAACGTAGTCCACGACGGGACTCGAACCCGCAATCTCCCGCTTCGTAGGCGGACGCCTTATCCAATTAGGCCACGTAGACACTTGTTACTATTGTTTAGTTTACTTGATATAGTACAAGTGTCTTACATATATACCTAAACGTCTACATTTTTGACAAGGAAATGACGGCAACGTTGAGCCAACGACTGTGGGCATGCACGGCACATGAAAGCCAAGCGTGCTTGTTCCATGCCTTTATCTTGGGAATTGGCACGGGAGACCTTCCCATTGAATCATTTCAGAACTTCCTCCTTCAAGACGCTTTCTATCTCCACGGCTTCCTACAATCGTTTGCCCATGCGATCACCAAGGCATCTTCGCCCGCTGACACGATCACTCTGGTCTCTTTGATGCAAGGAGTCAATGACGAGCTCAAGCTCCATGCCTCATACATGCAGGTAGTACTCGTAACATATACACACATACCTCACATCGTTCTAGTCATGGGGCATCGATTTGACTGTGGTCGAAACGACCGTGCCAACTGCCGCTACCCGAGCCTATGTCGACTTTTTATTGTCGACGGCGAAAACGTCTCCAACTGTGGCCGAAATCCTTGCCGCTATGGTCCCTTGTGCTCGACTGTACGCCTTCCTGGGCCAGAACCTTCAAGCCGCGATTCGATCGTTCACATCCAGTGATGGCCATTCCAATCGGTATGCCAAATGGATCGACACGTACGCCAGCCCCGACTTTGAAGTAATCTGCTGTATTCTCCTTCTTGCGTATGGATGGTGCAATAAGTCTTGCTTGTAGGCCAGTGCCGCAACGATTGAACAACTCTTGGACACGACAGCTGCCCGCGACGGGATATCCGAGGCCAGATTGCTTCCGCTGTACACCCGAGCGATGCATTTGGAGTTCAACTTCTTCGAAGCGTACTTCCCCCTTCATCGTTTGTCCACCATCATCCGTACGCTACGTCCTGTACCTCCTCTTCTAATACCCCAGCTAATACCCCAGCGTAGACCCGATGTCGATCTCGACACCCGACAATGAACTGATCGTGACGACGGCACCTGCTGGTCCAGCCTTCACTGGCAGCACTCTGGCTTTTGCGCTGGCACAACGGCAATCGACATCGGTGTTGATGTCCCCCAAAAGGCTGACGCTTGACAGCACCATTACTCCATCTCAACGCTCGGCCCTTGAAGCCATGTGCCAATGGAGCCAGCCGTCGTCGACCAGTGGCACTGTTGACTCAGCCGTGGCCTCTGCGGTGTTGCGGTTGAATGTACCTCGAGTGCTCTGCATTGCTGGGTCGGACAGCGGAGGCGGCGTACGCTTTTTGTTTGTCATGCCTTGGTTTGATGACAAATATTGTTGTAGGCGGGCATCCAAGCGGATATGAAAGCGTGCACAGCCCAAGGCGTGTTTTCCACGAGTGCTCTGACCGCCATCACGGTATACAATGGATCGTCCATTTCCCAATATATATATATATATCCATGTCACAATATAAATATATATATATGACGCCGTTAGGTACAAGACACGAAGGGGGTGCACGGCATCCACAACGTTCCATTGGACACGCTAAGTGCCCAAATCAACTGCGTGCTTGACGACATTGGCACGACAGTGATCAAGGTGAGTTGGGCGTTATGAATTTCTATGAGTTGAATAGAGTCGCGATAGACGGGAATGCTCGCGTCTGCCGACATTATTCGGTGCGTGGTGGATGCTGTTGCCCACCGCAACCTGCCTTTGGTCGTGGATCCTGTCATGGTGTCTACCAGTGGACATCGGTACGATGTGTATGTGTTGTTGTTTAAGAGTATTTTATCCCCTTTCGTCATAGATTGCTGCAGTCGGAGGCCCATCGTAGCCTCGTCACGGACTTGTTTCCGATAGCGTTGCTCATCACCCCCAATTTGCCCGAGGCGTCAGTGCTGGTAGGGCCCCACTTGAACAAATACATACTTTACATCAACAGTATATATATTGAGCGACTTTATTTCCTAGTTGGACGGCCGCGTGATTGCCTCGGTGACCGACATGCAGCAAGCGGCGGTGGATTTGATGGCGCTGGGCCGTTCCAAGTTTGTCCTGGTGAAAGGAGGACACTTGGAATCGGACACGGTAGTGGACGTCTTGTACGACGGCGAATCGTTCGACTTGTTTTCGTCTCCTCGCGTGCACACTACCAACACCCACGGTACGAAAGCTTATGCTGCGGCGTATGGAAGATGGGAGTATATATATATGGGGTAAGATGCTAAGAGTGAATAGGCACCGGATGCACGCTGGCCGCAGCCATTGCTGCGAATTATGCCAAAGTACGACTTTACCTAATATTTGTGAAGCGGGGTCATTTTTGAGTGATAGGTCGCCGACCTCAAGCTGGCGGTGCGCCTCGCGATTCGGTATGTCCAATCGATTTTGCACGGCAGCCGGGACATCAAGATTGGCCACGGCGACAACGGACCCATGCTGCACTGGTTGTAAACCAACAAAGCATGACGGCCTTCCAACTAGAATCATCAGCTTGTTATAGAATATAGAAGTCTATCGTCCGTGTATGTTGCGTGGGGGGGAATAAAATGCTTGCGAAACATATTCACACACATCACTCCGAAGGTATACACATACCCACATGGAGCCAAATCGCTGATCAGACAGGTTGGCAACAGTCACACCCACAATTCGCAACATCAACGCCAGCCGAACCTGCGAAGGGATCAATTCGGTCATAAGCGTAGGTAGCAGCAATGGGGACACATCTCTTGGCTCGTGCACACTCAAGGTAGCTAGTGAGATCTTTCGTTGGGTGGAAATACTGGTATCATTTTTGCTGTAAATCATGTATAGTGTCGCTTGGGAATGATATCTTTACGGTTTCGTGCTACTAAAATTTACAACCGTGCCCCACTTTCGACTGTGGTTACGATGCCATCTCCACCCACACGACCAGTGCTGACCCTTGACCTTCCGTCAGAAACGATCGAATTCACTGGGGACTTTTCTGTGCCTGGGTACCTATGGACGTACTTGACGTTTTACGCAGCGGGGGCTACACTAGTCGCCTCGTGGACTTGCTTTGTCCTGTCGATTGATGCATTTGCCAAGTTGTATCCCGATGGCATGGTGGGGTTTGTCTTTCCGGTGGTCAACATGTCGTCCTTGCTAGTCATCACCATGTTCATGCTCGTGGCTGGCCGTCAGTTGCCCCTTCACGTGCGAATGGCTGGCGGGTTTGGCAGCCTCCTGCTCTCGATCTTGGTCGTGCCGCTGCTCCAACTCGTTCCAAACATCGACACCCAAGTCCGTTATGTGGGCACACTGATCATGGTCATTGTCACTTCTATGGCGAGTGCGCTGATCCAATCGTCTATCTACGGGTTGGGGGCGGTTTTTGGGCCGTCGTTCCTTCAAGCGATCGACGGCGGCAAGGGCACCGGGGCGGTGCTCCTTGTCTTTGCTCGAATCGCCACCAAGTGGACGTATGACCATGACAACCCTGGAATGCTGTCCCTTTGCGTCTTCTTCGGCCTGGCCTGCGTCACGATTGCTGTGTCTTGGACATTGTACGTATCTCATGCCTTTATGTTGAAAAATGGTGACATGCTTGTTCCTACAGGTACGCTATGCTCCCCCATAATGAATTCGCCAAACCAGTGCTGGATATGTACGTTCGTATCCAGCACCTGACCCCTCTAGCCCTGCCCCTCCCGTCCCCCATGCGATCCCCCCAAAAGCAACAACTATTCCAGGTATATCCCTTCTACCTCCTAAAGCGACTGAACCGGCGCTGTGACCAGACCTTTGCACCCACGGAAACGACTCCAATCGTGGACAAGGAGCACAATACTGATGTGGGCTCGATCCTAACTGTCTTACGACTATCTTGGAAACCTGTGAGCATGTCGTTCGTAACGTTTTGCGTCTGCCTCGCCTGCTATCCCGGGCTAACCACCGCCATTCAATCCAACTCGATTGGGCAAACGTGGTTTCCAGTGGTACTCACGGCAGCGTTTACTGTCGGGGACCTAGTCGGCAAGTCGCTGCCGTTGACTATCCGACTGTTGACGTTGGAAACTCTGCATTATCCCCTTGTCGTCCAAGCTGCGTACATCCCACTATTTGTGCTCGCGGTGGTGTACTCGAATGCCGTGTCCGACATCGCCGCTATCGCCCTCGTGACGTCGCTGGGGTTTGTCACGGGATATGTTGGGACAAGTGCGATGATCCTGGCCCCCACCCCCTGCAGCGATGTCGAGCACGAAGTTGCTGGCATGACAGGCTCGATGGCTACAATTGCCGGCCTCTTTGCAGGGTCCTACGTTGGACTAATGTTGCAATTCATCCTTCGCTGTGTGACCGTTGGCAACGTTTAATCCACTAAGATATAAATAGATATACTTGATGGTGGTGGTCGCCGATGTGTTCAGCGCTGAGGAGGCGGAGCTCGTAGCGATGCAGTTCTCGCTCGCAAACCGACGAAATGCCCGCGACTTGGACAAACTAGAAGCCACCGTACTCTTTAAGGAACACGCCCCAGAGTTTTCCCCTCACGACCTCAAAACGATCTTTGCTGGAATCGAGGCAAAAGGAACGTTCCAACTCAACGTCAACGAATACTTGGAGGTGCACTTCCCATGTTATCATCTCGACCTCGTGGTTACTATCACAAGATTGTGATGTAGATCAAGGCAAACAAGAAAATCGAGCTCGAGGCTATCGACGAGGAAGATTTGAAGCGCCACTTTACTGTTCTAGACTACCACGGTACGTTGCCACGTTGAGATGAGTTTAGTTGTCGAGGGCTGACCAAATGAACAGGCAATGGGTCACTCGTGGCGACTGAAATCACCGAAGCATTGGAAAAGACGGGGGACTCAGGAGTGGATGTGCTGAAAGAGGCCATCCAACACGCTACGACACTGTCGACGGATGGGACGATCACGTTTGAGTTGTTTCGCGTGGCGATTCACGATATGAATCGAAAGAACCAAGCGGCGATTGCGGCGGGTATGATAAGGATCTATCGATTGCAGGCCAAGTTGCAGGTATGTATGCATGTTGTCACAGTATCTTTGCGGATTGTTGAATGAATGGACAGGAACAAGCGTTGAAACGAAGAGCGTCCAATACCCACGAGACGTCGATTCAAATCGAATACCAAGTGCTCGTCGCCCAAACCCAGCGGCAACAGGCTCAACTCATCACAGCCCAGAACGACCTATTCTCGAAGGTTTATGGTATCATCGTCGCGCAATACATGTGCCAAACCCGCGTTCTCCAAGCATTCCGAACGTTCTTTGACCATTTGCACACCGAAGGTACGTCGACCAGTGGGGCTTCCGTTGAGTCGGAATACAACGTAACGAGTAGACAGCCACCTCTTCCGCCACAACCTCGAGAAAAACGGCCGCGTCGTGGCCGTCCATCCTAGCTTTCTCCTCACTCCTGGTCCTGTCATTGAAGTGTGTACATTCGCCATACATTTCTGTCCACTCATTTGGGCACTGTAGCAATCGCCTGCGTATGCCGACTTGTGCAACTTTATGATCCCAGACATGGTCTACGACACGGTACGCGTGAATTCCCTCCGCCCTCTCCACCCCTATTTAGTGCGACTGCACTAGGACAACCACGGACCGCTCTTTACCAACCGCGCGTACCGCAAGATATTCCTGTGGTATTGTCTCTTGGGCAGTTTGACCAATTTGCAAACGATGGGGCGGACCAACTTTCTTCGATTTGCGCGCGACTGCCGCGTCGCCGACCTCAGCGACCGACCGATCTTGGACGCGGATTTGGATGCATGTTATGTCGTGGCGATTCGGGAGCCTCGCGTGGCGCCCCCCCAGAAACGGGTGGTGGACAGCGAGTCGTTCCATTTTCACTTCAAGCCGACGCCGCCGTTATTTGAACACACGACCAAGCACCACTCGAACACACATGGGGGCGGCATGACGTTCAAGCAATGGGTGCACGGCACCACGCTGCTGCTCTGTCGATGTCTAAACCTAGAGGTAGGTGTATGTGTGTGTGTGCACCTAATTGGATGTACAGGAATGGCCCAGTACGCTTAAAACGGATGAACTTTTTCGCGAATACATTTTACCCCACGCAAATCAACTCCAGACGCAACCACTTGGACCTGAAGTGTCTCAGCCCGAAGTCATGCAGTTCATTCGCAACCACGTGTGGCCTTTGAAACAAATCTTTTCCCACTTTGCAGGCCATAGCATGACATCGGTAACCCATACTAGTCAAATGTACCGATAACTAGAGTCGAACTTGCTTTCTACGGGTAGATCGAGCTGCATCAAGGACTTTCACTGCGGGACTTTATTCACTTTGCACGATGTTTTGGTACGTCTCTAATACTGTAACTTGATTCAAAGGTTGAGGTTTACAGGAGTACTGTAGACATACTACCATCGACCATCTTGGACCAGCCGCGACCCCACCTTGCCTTTCGCCAACTCAGCCTTCAGGTTCGTACGACGACATTTCACTTCATAGTCGCCATATTCGTTGAATGTATAACATATGAGCATTTCTCATATTCATCAAATTCCACCATATATATATACCTACCTACCTACGTGTCTACTCTAACCTACGAAATGAACGATATAATTCATGTAGGAAATCGTGCAAGAATACAACGCCGCCAAGCTGGACGTTGGGTTTTCCAAATCCGAAAGCCGCGAATCCTTGGATCTCAACTTTCACGAGTTCCTCCGATGCATCCAGCGCCTCGCCATGGCCATGAATCGGTCATTGTCGTCGTCGGCTGCTGCTGCTGGAATCGATGGCCGCATGTTTGCATACACCAAGCACCACTCGCTCGTGTCGTCGTTTCAGCACTTTCGCAGCGACATGCAGTCCCCCGGACAGTCGCAAGTGCACTTATTTCAACACACGCGGCAACTACACGCAGACGACCGCCAAATGTCCAAAGTCGTGGCGCTCGTGCAATCCAGGCTCAAATCACACTCTTCATTGCTCTTACCAGCTCCGACGGGGCGCCTGCAGCCCCAGGCCACCGACATATCACTCTTTGACCATCTGCCACCCTTAGCCATGGACGTCGCCGCCCCCCCAACAACATCACGCCCAACGACGTCGATTCGATCCGAAACGCCCAAGTGTGTCGTCCCCAAGCCGACACATTTACCCCTGATGATCCTGCCATCGCAGCCGTGTTCCCCGCGGTACTCGGCCACGCGGCCGTTGTCCCTGGGCGGGTCCCCCCGCATCAAAATCATCCGCCCCCCGCTAACGCTCGACGTATCGCCACATGTTGCCAGTCCGCTGCCGACCACTTCTAGACCCCCCCCGACGACTGCACAGTACAACGGGTTTGCCATACCGCCGCTGTCGTCCTCTGATCGACCGCGAACGCCATACGAACATGCGTCGGGAGTAGTAGTCTCTGGAGTAGTAGTCTCTGCACGATTGCAATAGCACTTAGTTGGTAGGAGTGTGCATTTCACCTAAATGTAGCAGCGCGTCGACTGACAATGGAGAGTCTTGGGCCAATAATATGTTGGCACATCGACAAATCGCACGCGGGATGCCCCGTAGCGATTGAATCACTGGATGCGCGGCCAAAACGGCATATACGTTGTCCATGGTGTCGGCCATGTGGACGGCATACAGCGGCGACCGAGTCATGCCCTGCAACGGCAGTTTGCGAGGAAATACCATGTCCACGAGCAGCTTGGCCGACGCCTTCCTTGTCATGGGGGGCGTCTTAAACACATACAGGCCGTGGTCGTGCACGCGGTCTGTCTGGCAGAAGTACACGGACGTCGTGAGCACCTTGAGGCCAATGTTGTCGGCGAGCTGCGAGTTAACAAATGTCGTGAACATCTGCGCATCGCCAAGCAGTACAGTATCGCAGCCGTCCAGGACCACGAGCATGGGGGCGCCGTGAATATGCCGTGTCAATTTGTGCATTCTACGAGCGAAGGTCACGACGTTTGTCCATTGCACTCTGTCACACACCGTCGCATACGTCGACCCGCACACGCTCGGAATTCGTCGAGCATGCACTCGAGTTTATCGTAAATCCTACACTCCAACGTCGTGAGGGGATATGGTACTGTATCGCACACAACGTTGTCTATATATCGACCTTTCGTGGGGATGGTGCAACTTGTCTGGGCTCAACACGACAGCCGCATCATTTTCGCACAATTCGGCAACGTTGACATGGTACACCCCACCCAAGAACGCCATCCGCGGACTCAAATAGGTGGCCACCGCGTGGGCCAACTGGGTTTTCCCTTTATTATGTGTGGACACACGCCCAGTCAATTTAGTGTCGCATATTAATAGAAGTCGATTCAAAACATTGGAATGATGGGGTTGGTGAAGGCGCAGCACCAAATCGGTATCGACCATCAAAACCCACAACACGAAGCAAGTGGCCAATCAAATACTCCTCTTCGACCACTCAACATCGAATTAGTGTGTGTGACTTATATTAGTGTGAAACTGGTCACTTTTTACATACAAGAGGAAGTACAAACACTAATCGATTGATAGATTTGGCAAAGCAGCACACACAAATCCAAATTTTGGGTCAAAGGACAATATTATTCTTCTTACCAACACCGGACGGCCCTGTCACCCATACCCATCGCTTGTATTTCAAATGGCTTTCTTCGGTCAAGTATCCACACAACTACAATGTATTAAGTGTCCCTCCAACTCAGAGATGTTTGCATCTTAATATATATATATTGGCTGTACGCGAAGTTGTTCAATCGATCGAAATCGAAACGTCTACAAAACCAAACATTAGAAGGTTAATGTATACAGTATAGTGTCTGTTGAGTAGCATATAGCCTCATCGTACCGGACATAACGTGGGGAGCGAGACGTTCCATATCTTTGGAAACCGCGCTTCAAATGGCGTGTGCAACGAGCGTGGCACGACCATATGGGGAAACACGACTTCGTTGTGCGGTTGGTGCGTCGGCAACAGCGTAAACTTCTCCACGCCCTACGAAGGTACATGTAATCGAATCAAACGTCCGCTACGCATATATAAAACATCACTAACAGACATATACCGTCGAGGCAACGCGATGCGGGGACCACGACACGGTCATGAGTGCTTGTTCGAAACACGATTCGACCGAGAGCTGCCCCGTGGCTAAATTCAAGTAGAACGCCCTACAAACAACGATCAAGTTAGCTGTTTGATTTAAAAGTCGATGGGGTGGTCTTTGTACTGGGTAAAGTGCACGGCTTCGCAGTCTTCCACCGTCGAATCGCCGCGAATAGCAATCACGTGCGGGACTCCACACTCGACAAACGCGTTGGCTACATGATAATATTGGTTCCAAATGCTTGTATATGATGATAGTTATTAGCAGAGGTAGGGAAAAATATAATCTCGACAAGATTTATTTCTCTATTTAAAAAAAATTTTTTTTCTAAAGGATCTGGTCAGAAAATAAGTAATTTTGCTGGACGCGAAGGATAGAAATAAGTTTTGTGATGTGTGCCTCAAGAAATAAATATAGTATTTCATTCGGTGAAGACTTGATATTCATCGATAATCTGAGGTCATTCACTGTGAATAAATAATTCATTCCGACTGGCTGAAAGAATTATCTTTTCTGTAATGTGTCAGTAAGAATACATAATATCTTCGTCCTTGCATGTCACAAATAAGTAAAAATATCATCTCTTTTACTGAAATAATAAATATAAATACTATTTCTGGTTAATACAAGCGTAGACGAGTACGAGTACTATTAATATATTGTGAATTCGGTGCAAATTCCCCCACCAAATCCGACTCACGAATCGACGCGATTGGCTAAAGTCCAATTTTAATGAGCTGTGGATTGGCTCTTTCAGAAACGACGACACACTTATACTCAGCCAATCCGAATGTCCAGCCTCGTTTAGAAAACCACACGACTATAGATAATAGCGAAATAATTCACCACATACCAATGTGTTCGGAATTGCAAGAGTTGACGACTACGAGCCGCAGATGGAGCTGGACATGCGTGCGGACGATCTGCAGCAATGTGTCGACGGGAATCAGGTCCGCCATGCCTTGCTGCTCGTCGCTCTCAAAGTACAGGCAATTGGTGGCTCCATGGCCAGAGTAATGTAGCACGCGGCACTTGGACGAGACCATCGTGCGCAGTGCGTCCATCGTGGCAAAGCTCACAGACACATCGATAGGCGGCGCCGCGTGCACCATGGCCATCCCCGCATCATTGACGTGGTCTTTCCACTAAACATGAGGAGATGTGGTTGAGATCAAGCTGAACGATATGGGTTACCGTCATGTTGGCCGCGGCGAAAAGGGACTGTTTCAGACAGTCGTATTCTTTTTGAAAGTTTAGCATCTATTGCATCGTGACAATCGAAACAAATCCACGGGAAAGGACGTACGTCGTGGGAGCGTAACTTTGGGCCATCGCGGTAGCACAATGGCCCGGCAAAGAGAATGCCCTATGCAAACATCGACACCGTCAGCAGCGTATATATGGTGATTATGCAAGGGTAGAAGCACCAGAACGTTGTGACCAAGCGCCATGGCGGGGGACTTGAACGGCGTGTCCATGCGACTCACGCGGGGGTCTTCAACTTCGTATTGAATCCTGCAACTTCGACGAGGTCGATCCTTGACGTATGCGAGGCGAATGATATCGCCGTGCCCGACGCGAGTGGGCACATTCGCGACTTGGACTTGTGTTAGCGACGACGACGATGTCCCCAGCGTGCTGCGTACCTAAGGGCGTCGAGTTGACAATCGTGCCGTTGGTGCTGCTCAGGTCGGTCACATACAGCGACGCGTCGTCGACTTCGCTCCATTCAACCGTGCAATGATGGGCACTCAAGCAATGGAGCCCGAGCGACGTGATCGCGGTGCTCTGAAGGCATCCTACGAAATCCTCGCGACCGAAACGAATCGATCGATCCTGCGGCCTACAACATAAGGATCCAATGAATGAGACACATAATCACCTTGAACGTTTGACTACCCCAGTTCGATGTTGACGAGGTCCTCCTCATCCAACGATGTCAAGTCATAATGCGTCATGCATTCCTTCGTCGACGCGTGCAGTTTGAGTCGCATGGACCCATTCTTGTCGTCTTCGTAATAGCGTCGCATTTGAGACAGTTCTTCGTCGTGGTCGTCGTCATAGTACGTGTCTTGGGTCGGCGGCGATTGGCACTCAACTTCCTTGGTCACGTCTGGATTGACACTGATGGGAATGAGCGCCATGGGAGACGGCAGTACGCCGCCATCATGTGGGTTTGGTCTCTTGGGCAATGGCTGAATGCTGTCGTCGTCGTCGGTGAAGTCGAACGCCGGGACATGCTCCTTCTCCATGTCGAGTCAACTCTTCAACGTAAATATCCAAATGCAGCCTGATTGTGTTGCGATCTTGGTACTTAAATCAATAAACATGTCGAATTTATTTCAGAGATTTAAATGGAATACAAGGACCTAGATATTAATATAAAACGGCCACGAATTAATTCAACGAACGCAACGTTTCGCGCGTTTTGTCGCGTTGTATTGACCAGTTCAACGTTAAGTCATTTCCTTTTTGCGCTTTAGGTTGTTACGACTCTCCATCAACGACGCGCCTGTCCCTTCCGCGGCCAAGACATCCACGACGGCATACGGCGTGGTCCCGTACACAGCGCTTTGATCCAGCAACTGAAAGGCGAGGGAGATGTGGCCGCGCACGAGCAAGTTGACATGCTGCAGGATCTCGAACGGCACGGGGGTCAATATGTGGAATTCTCGGCGCTCGACATCGATGCTCCGAACAATGCCTACTCAAGGTGTTATTAGAGATGAGTTGACTGAGTGATGACGATGTACCGTGGCCAACACAGGGAACCATTGGATTGTCCAGAACTGTCACAGGACCTCCGTTTGTGGCGTCCGGTTTGATCTCGTACGGGTGGCAGCACAACCCAACAACGCTTGCGTTCAGTACATGAAGGATCTGGCTTGGAGGCACGGAACCCCCCGACACACGCAGACCGACCTTCGAAAATGGAACCCGGTACGGCGCTTGTTGTGGATAGATGGTCGAGAGGAGACGCGTATACCTGTCTCATAATGTCAAAGGATTGTTGGTGACATACACCTCTTATTCCAAGAGATTGTACCGTGTCTGCTCGGATGTGCAGTGGATATTTTGCAACGACACATGTGATGGGACGGGAACTCGGCCTAGAAAGTACGCGTGCAGTCTGAATTGCCGCAGTTCTTTCCCACTTCGCGCAGGTTGCGGTGGCTCGATGTCCCACATTTCAATGGGATGCAGCGTCCACTACAAGCATGTTGCGTATAAGACGACCGCCGGCGATCGATGAATTCACCTGAGGCGACAGTGGCACGTCAAAACTCTTGGCCTTGGAGAGTGCGACGACCTGGACGACATGCTCAGGTGTCGCAGCCGAGAGAGTCGCTTGAAGCAGATCGTAGCCCATGCTCTTGATCCAGCCGTCCGTGTTGAGTACTAGCGGAATCGTGGAATCCTTGGCGGCATAGTCGTTCAAGAGGGCGCTAATGGCTTCCATGTACACCGTTGGATCGGCCTTGGGGCTGCTAAAACCGAAAAAGTACGACCTACCGCCACATGTGAAGTTGGACGAACTATCCACGACACATAGTACCGATACGCTGGTTCGAGGTGCGTATACCCAGGCCCGAGCAACGGTGACGTGATATAATGCAGCGACAGCACCCCCGGCGCCGCAAGTTCCGGCTGCCCGACGTCCGTGTCCAAGTACGCGACCATCGGATACACGTTGAGCAGTCGATTCACCACATACCGACTGAACGTGGACTTGCCCACGCCCTTGGCCCCACAGACGAGCATTTTTCGATTTGCCGACGTCGCCATAGAGTCTAAGATCGACGCCGCCACCTTGGACCAGGTCGGCGGAATGAGAATTTCGCGCACAGGATGAGGTTCCAGCGACGTGATGGACGTAAAGTCGACAGACTCCCCATGATACAAGACAGACGAGCCATCCGCGTTAGACGCGGCATGCTTGGCTTTCTTCGTTTTGGGTTTGTCAAGTGCATGGGCTGCGTTCTTGTGGCGGATGAATTTGAACCCTGGCATCGGCACAACCATGTCGTTGGTTGTTGCGGATGGTGGACCACCATCAAAGTACGACGCTAGGTTGCCGTAGGTAACATGCATGGACCGAAAGACCAGGACGATGGGGAATCGTACGGCAATGTCCTTGGCCAACGCATCTGCCTCGGCCTCGTCCGCCATGGTCAACCGATCGTCTACGTGCGTGAGGTTCCAATGGGCTTCTGTCAATGACGTGCATGGAGATTGAAACACAGATGTTGTCGCGATGCCTTGGATGGACAAGAGGTTCGACCAACGGGGCGAGAACACGTCCAAGTACGCGCCAGCTTTGGCGTGGAAGCCCAGAATGGACACTCCACCTTGGAACACGCGAAGGTGCACCATCCCAGCACCCACCAACTTCTCCTCCGCCTCCATACCAATGACGACATGCTTCTTGGATGGAGTGCATGAGACTTTGTCTTCTGTGGCGCAATAAGCGTCCATGAGCTGCTGCATCTGTGCTTGTTGGACTTCCATCGCTCCACAACGACGACTGCTGCGCAGGCAATTGTTGGTTCGCTACGAGATCACACTATTTCAGGGTTTGTTGATTCTACGTACCTCAAAGTAGTTTAACGTAAAAAGAGCCAATTTATGACGTTGTGACAAGTTACTGTTATGAAAATGCACCAATCATAGCTCGTATATTCAATATGCACCAATCACACAGTGAACCTCTTAATTTCTATTCACACCTACAAAAAGGGTGGTACACTGTAAATTATATTGTGAATTCGCTATAAACTTCCAAAATTCGCGTGGTTTCCCAAATCAATATTGAATCAGTTCTGCTTGGTTGAATACACTTGTTCCTTATGTACGAGCCAATCAAATCCACTCAAAATTGGATTAGTTAGAGGTTCGACTCAAAGGGTCTGGAAATGTGTACCGAATCCACAATACGGTAGTACTAGGTACAACTTGCAGTACTGTTAACAAGTGTAAATTGGTACTCAAAATTATAGAGATTCCGAGTCCAAAACCGTTTCCAAGGACTCCAATACTTGTCTAAGAGCATAAGACCTTAACCACACCTACCTAGGAATTCTCTAGTACCTTTAGGACTTTTTAGAACGCGAAAAAGCAGGACGGAGAAATCCCCATTTTTCGAAATCAAATGAAAGTTGTATGTCATAACGTTATTTGTGGATTTGCTGGGAGATGCGGGGGCAGGACACAAACACATCACTGTGAAGAATTAAAGCCTTCAAATTATGGTGTACCATATATATTATGCATTCGATTCGAAGTTGGAGTGGGTGGTCCAATCGAATCAGCCCAAACGCAGACAATCAGCTAACCAATGAAATTGCTTCAATCCTAAATTCCAACTAATGGTAGGCTTTAGCCCATTTGTCCCAGTTGAACTATTTATATTCAATTTTCGTATGGTATACATTGTATGGTATATAATTGTGCTTCGAGGTCGATTCCAAATTTGGGTGAAAAGGACAATATACCGGTATGCAACTTTATTCAAGTTGTCACGTGCGAGTCAACCTGGAACTGAATCTCCCACTTCCACCAAGTCAAACGCCGTGTGTATGCGCGCGACAGTTATATACTAGTATTATTGTTTGCTTGAACATCTTTATGTTGATATTTGTTTTCAGTATGAGTATTTTTATTCCCTGTCAGCCCTAAAATTATTTACGTTTTGCAAAACGATCTACCGGTATGTACAGTACAGTAACGTTATACATCCTACAGATTGTGCATGCGTACATACTACGGGAAAGGCGCGATGCAGGTCCAACCAATACTACCGTACATATCAAGAACACCTTATTGCATGCCACCTGAATGAACAGCTGTAGAGAAAGACAACTTCAACCTTGCCAAATTCGTCGTATTTCAAGAACAAGCGTGTACATGCGGGTAAGATGCCTCGTGCCAGAGAGAGCTGTGTATACACAGACCATGCTGCATAGGCTGAGCTAGTAATGGACTACCTTGTAGTACAAGTAGTATTGCTGTAGGTATTACAAGGCTCGTGAAAAGCGACATCAAAGTTCGTCCATTTTCGATATATGCGCATGTCGACATGTCGTCCAAGTACCACAAAACATTCATATGCGCAATAAAAATAATGCTTCCGCAAAAGTAGTGAAATATCCGGAACAGTTCGGTTTTCAAGGTGAAACGGCATAATTTTCTGAATGCAAGCACCACATTTGCAGTAAGCGACTTAAAGCGTGTCAGTACAGCAGCCAATGTCCCTCTCCAACAAGTTGGATGCCTGCCAAGAAACTCCAGAATTTTCTTCCGCCTACCATGAATGCCTCGATTTTGGCCTTCCAGAACTTCGTGTTAACGTTATGATGTTGATATTTTTAGCAAAATGGAAAATTGGTTCCAAGTACAATTTCCTACGTTTTGACCTCTTTTTGTGCGATTTTTTACGCAACTCACTATACCAAAAGTAGAAAAAGAGGTCCTTGACGTCTTTTTCTAAATCGTGAAAAAAAAAGAGGTAAATCGATTTTGATTGGCTCATGCTATTTCTGAAAACTACTTGGAGCTGTAACGCCATCTCCCTCTATGCACAGTTCCTACTTTTCAAACAAACTGAAAGTATTTTAAAATGTTTCTAAATACGAGCAAGTGTAAGTATAACGTTATTGGTACCGGTAGCAGTACACTTCCTCCTGATGGATGCTTGTTGTGGCTATATTTGCATTATGAAAGCGCATATGCGCCTCGTTAAGGGGTACTGTAACCGCGGCCACCTTGGAGTAAGTTAAGGGCAAGTCGTGCGATGTGTGTGTGCGTCCGGTTACTCACCTCCGACGCAGTTACACATAGAGTTTTCCGGATACGGGGGTTAGTCGCCGCAATAGTTACACATCACGGTATCCGGAAATACCGCCATGAGATATAAAACGACCTGCGGTTTGTATGGTCACTTGGATAAAAACAGGGCGTCACATCCGGATACGCAACGAGAGTGTGCGCCTGAGAAGCCTCTTCCTCACATCCTCACTGTCCATCATCCGACATGTACTCTAGCTACGCTAAGGCCCCCAAGACAGGGGATCAAGGGAAGAATCATGTAGCCACGGATCACGAAGCTTTGCATCGGGATGCCAAGATCCATCAGTCCGTCCAGTCCTCGGAAAGTCACCTGACGCCGTTGGACTTGGAGACCATCATGTCCAACAAGGGCGTGGTCAAGTACTGGTACCTCCATCGCCCCAAGACTATGGAAATCGTCCACAGGAATGCAGTGAAGGTGCAATCGGTCGCACGTTCGTTTGCCGTGCGCTCCCTCGTCCGCAAGGTGCATTCTCTCCACCTATTAGACGGGAACAACGTGTTTCATGACATGTGTAGTACGGGATCAATTACATGGTCGAACTCGCCAAGCGCGATGCGGAAAAGAAGGAAGCCGAACGCCTCGCCGCCATGTCTCCCGAAGATCGCCTTCGTGAAGAGCAGGAGAATATTGCATTTGATCGCAAGGTCGAGGAAACACGCCGCCTCAAGCGCGAAGCCTCCGCCCTCGCCGAGGAACAAGCGGCGCTCGAACGTGCCGAAAAAGATCGCTTGGCGGCCCTGTCGGAAGCCACTCGCCTCGCCGAAGCGTACGTCATCACTATTCACGATGTCCCTCATGCTATTTGATTAGAAAGCGCATCCAGGACAAAGCTGATGCTGCAGCCGCCGCACAAAAGGCTTTGGACGACAAGGCTGCTGCGATTGCCGCCGCCACTGCCGCTGCCACTGCCGCTGCGACCGCCAAGTCCACAGAAGACACCACCCCGTCGGCGTGGTCTAATGACAAGACACATGCAGCGACGGCTGCTGCCGACGCCGCCGCTGCCTCTACCGAAGCTGCGCACAAGGCCGTATTAATCGAAGCCGCGCAACTCGAGCGCGACGCGGCGGAACGTCAACTGTTGCATGCCCGCGCATTGGCCGACAAGGCGGCGCGGGAGCGGGAGATGGCGCTGCTGGCCGAGAAGCAGGCCAAGTACGAGGAATCGCTCGGCCGCGACGTGCCCATCGTAGTAACCGACCACGGGCGCGGTCGCGTCTTGTTTTATGACCGCGAGACCCAAGTGTACTCTGTAGCGATCGAGCACTACGGCAAGTCGGAAGAGGTGCTCGATGTGTACCCGGACGAGATCGTTCTGGACGGCGAACGCATCCTGTCGCCGCGAACGCTGGTGGAAACCCCCTTCGGCGTCGGTGAAGTCGTGGGGCTGGACCCGCACTTGGGCTGCTACGCCGTGACCAACCTCATGGTGCGCGAGGAAGGCATGGACGACACGACGGCGCCGCATGCGTTCCTGCAGATCCGCGACATTGTGCGCCACGTCGAAGCGCGCGAGTCCACGGACGTTGTGATCGAGTCGCATGGGCTGCCCATCCCGGACGAGATTACGATGAAGTCGGCGCGTATCGTCAACTCCAAGATCGTGACCCAGGCGCGTCACAAGTTTGTCCAATACCATTTGGAGATTCAAACCACTAACTATGGCACGGTGTACTGCTGGAAACGGTACTCGACGTTTCGACTCCTCTGCGACCGTCTCATGAACGAAGCCGGGTACAAGAAGAAGGAGATTCCTGACCTACCCAAACGACACATCACTGGAAATATGTCGGAGAAAACCATTCGAGAACGTGTGGACAAGCTCAACGAGTTTTTGGATGCCGCCGTCCGCGCCGAGCACCTGCAGTGGGGCATCAGAGTGGACGACCGCATCGCCGTCTACAAGCGCCGCGTCAAGAAACCCCGAAGTGCCGCCGCGTATCCGTCGTCGAGCAGCGCCTCTAGCAACCGACGGCGGTAAATGCGCCAGCCAGCGACACCACGGACAGAGTCATGTAGATATGTAGTGCGCGAATATACAACACATCCATTCCCCACTGTGTTTTACTCTGCAGCTTGCGCGAGGCAATATAGCTTTATAGAGGTTTTTCTTCAAAGTACTATATAAGGAGATTGATAGTATTTGATGCAAGTAGAATTGTAAACTCGTCCTGAAAGTCCGAAAACCCGACACGTTTTGTGCAATGTGGTGCCCAATTACTCAAAGCAAGTACACTCACAATATTACAGTAGTTACTGATGTGAGCAATCAACGAACAGCGATATCCTATAGATACAGTGTAGCTTGTTATGCAGTGCTCGAATTTGCTCCGACAGCCATGTCGTCGTGTATGTAGACTTAATCGCATTGCAAGGATTTGTATGGCTGACAACGCTCATGTGGTGTCGAAACAACTGTGCTAACGTTACAGTATATGAATATAACGTTACCACATAACTTCAACCACATCCCTTGGCCCAAATTTGTAAAATCTGCCTCAAATTTGTAAATAGTTCCAGTATCCAACTCAACTTCAACACTTTGTTGTATAAATAGGATCCAGGTCAATTGTACAAGGCCATCATTGGCTAACTTAGCCAAATGCGTGAAATGAACAAATATTTACAAACTCGAGCCAAAGTTAGCCAATGATGGCCTTGTACAATTGACCTGGATCCTATTTATACAACTGTTGAAGTTGACGCGTGGTTTAGTCCGAGCAGTTGGAGACTCCGCCACGATGGCAATCAAGCACCTCCCGACGCCAGCTCGACTTGCGTCGATCCCATACCTTGCCACGTCAGACTCGACGGAGCTTGTCCGAGCCTCCAAAGTGTGTCAACCGACACTGTTCACCAACAGAGTGTTCACAGTGTACTTGATCTCTGTGTCGGACCATGCCAACCACCGATGGTGGACCATTCGGAAACGATACACGGACTTTTACCGACTGCGCAAAGCGCTCATTGCGGTTCCCATGTCTGGTGGATGCCACACAGGCGCCATCCAGTCTTTGCTGCAGCTGCCGTTTCCAAAAAAACACTTGACGTCGAGCACGAACGCACGCGTTGCTTCAAGCTGTGGACACACCACCTCATGGACTTGTTCCTTCGAATGACACAAGAATTGCTGTCCACGCAATCCATGGCTAGCGACAAGTCAACGGTAGCCCTTCTCCGCTCGTTTTTTGAAGTTCCTACGGCTGACATGGCCCCCGACGACGACACTACATGTGTCATCTGCCTCTGCGACGTAGACGAATGCGTGTCGGTACTGCCCTGCGGCCACACATTTCACAGGGACTGCGTGTTTGGATGGGTGGATGACAAGCGAATTTGCCCCATTTGTCGACGGGAAACCCATGCATTGGCAGGACTGTATTTACCTCGTGGAGCTCAGCAACGTATATAGTCGGTAAGCGCGTGGCTTATTAACAAAAGTTATTGGAAATTCCTGAGATTTAACCTCGAAATCATCGGATTCAAATTCGACTTGGAAGTCGGAGCAGTGTACAGTACATGTACTGATGTCACTGCAACGCCAACTCCTTTTCCCCTCCGAGGTCCATCGATCCCAAGTACAACAATCGCCCCACTCCACGCTCCATAGCATGCCTGGACCCTTACGTGGAAGTTCACCCATCTCCCAGGTAGCCCTGAATGATTCCAACACCGCTAGCACTTCCAAGCCTTTCGCTTTAAAACCTTTGCACCCTCTATGTGCCCGTATTGCGCTGCCCCGAACGACTCTAGCTGTACCTTCTAGCTATGCCCCACGCGCAAGCTATGTGTTCTGCTTATCTATTCTATGTATGGCAAGCGCGCGCACATTCCACGTGACCGTACACTCGCCCTCATACTAGACCTTAAGCATCCACAGCGCGGGCCTCCCCACATCCCGCCCCGTGGATGGTCCCCTAATGGGCCACCCACGACACAGTCTACGGCAATGCCACCAGCGATGGCACCTGCGTGCTCCGTTCATATGTCCCCCGCGCTCTAGGGACTGAGGGCTACCCCCCTCCCTCAGCTGCTCTCCGTTGATGTCTGGACAAAAAAGGCTCCGGCCACGTACGACACACGCCCCGGCCTGCTGTTCCTTTGCCCCTCACACACCAATGCCGACGAGTTCACTCTCTCGAACGCCCCTCACGCTCACCAGCGACATGTCCTTTTCAATGGGGCAGCGCATACCGCTTGTGGAGGATCGGAGGCGATGTCTCTCATCAAAGCCCTGCAACTTGCCTTCTCAGTACGGTGTATACGGGGACAGGATCGTTATCTTGGAGCAAGTGCGAGGACTACACCGTGTTCTGCCGGTAGACCTCGTCCTGCGCTTCTCATACATTTGCTCTCGTTGTGTCTTGCACTGTCCACGGATTACAATTGTAGGCCGCCGATTTTCTTTCCAAGCAAGCCCGATGTCAGGTGTCACAAGCTTGGCGAGCGATATAGAATTTCCAACGTTACTGTAACGTTATAGTGATGTGAAATCTCCTTTAACATCTCCAGGTGATGCTTCAAAATGTTATTTCTCCAATCCCTTTTTCCAATGAACTGGAGGAAAATAACTGGAGACAGCATGGCATTCAGCAACGATCATATGGAACCATTTCGCCAAAACTATGACAGCTGGAGGAAAACCACGCGTACATGTGTAGTGGTGATACCGTACTGTTGAAGTATGCACCCTATAAAGGCAAATAAGGTACTGGTACTACTAGTCGTACTGTTCAGTACCTACATGTACTGTAAAGTCCTTACATGCACTGTCGGGAGGTTGGTTGTGTGTGTACAAGTACGTATTCCGATGAAACGATTGAAATTTGTAAAATTCACTCGGGCGGGGTCCTCACAGCGCGACATCATTGGGCGTGACTTTGTGTACCTGTAATCAGTCAGGCATTTCGAAAGCAAGGGGTGGCATCGAGGAAGAGAAAGAACAATCGATGGTGCCACACTTATCCACAAGAATGGTGGATCAACATGGACCGTACAAAAGTTCGATTGGGAGCAAACCAACCTCTGGCAAATGCGTTTCAAGCGACAGAAGTTCATTGCCTTGCCCGCAATGGCTTGCTTTTTTTTGCTGGGACAATTGCATCCCACGAGGGACGCATAGATAGATAAACGTTAGCACTTCTTGGGAACACATTGTTGAGATGATTACACTATCCTATCATATTTTAACAGGTACTCTACGTATAGTACTACTCTAAGCACATTCAAACATGTCGCCTCCCCAAATCATTCCAAGCATAGGATTGCATCGTTTTGAAATGATGTCTTGGGATGCTCTTGTTGTGATTGGTCCTTTGATTTGATCAGTGGCATGGTACGGCCAACACCTGAGTGATCGGCAAATAGACAGGACGCAATGAGTCCAATGTGGTCGACCATTTGCGAATTCGACTAGGGACTTTCGTCATGTCAGCCTCCGGTGCATGGTCCGAAGAAGAGCATGGACGATTCCTACACGCGATGAAGTTGTTCCCGAGGGGTCCTTGGAAAGCCATCGCAGGGGTTGTGCAGACGAGGAACATTCGCCAAACCCAAACGCACGCTCAAAAGCACCGAGAAAAGCTGGCCAGACAAGCAGAACGGCGGCAGCACAAGACACATAAGATGGAAGAGCCAGCTCTGTTGGATCCGTCGCACATTGCCTTTCTTGTCGAATTGTACCACAATGTTGTGTCGTCGAGCGTTGTTCATGAATCCACGCCACCGCCGTGCATAAATTAATGGAAGTTACCTACTTTTATTACACCAAAGTTATATCATCGTGGAGCCAGCCCCCTACATTTCACGGCCAACTTGTAAATGCCAGGGGGGGCTGTAGGTGAAGTGGCAACGCGAACGAATACCGGGTAGTGATATCTGGGGGGTACAGACTTAAATGCGGGGGCGGAATTGAATTCCCAGTAGAACCACCTCGTTCAAATTTCGATGGCTTGGACGCGAATTGTCAAGCTGTATGTAGCATGAAGTCTGGAGTTTACGTTTTTAACGTTAGTATTGCGTGTATCAATTGCTTTGGAGCGCCCTGTCCTTGCAATGGGACGAGTCCAAATGACGATATGGAGTCAGAAACGGTGGACGTTCGCAAATGATTCGTCTCCTCCTCCAAGCATCGAACCAAGGTTCCCCCACTGAAATGAGCCCATTCCATCGGCAACACCGTCGACAAAGACACATCCATGGCCTTATCCTACATCAAGTACAATCCATAGATTGTGGAAGCCTTCCTGCTGAGCACCGGCGTCATTATTGGGTGTGGGTGTGGCTGTGAATTCTGGAGCAATTCCCCATTAAATAGTTCTATTACTTCTTTCCTCAGAATTTGTCGTTTATTTGGGATTTACAGTTTTAGAATACTCTATCACCCCCTCTTACCAAGGGTAAAGTGCATCTCAGTGGTTAGCGATAGGTAACCACTGGTGGTGCAGTTAACCATGGGGATTAGCGTTATACTAGAATGTACCCACCGGGGGTAGGACGGAATCCCAAGTCACAGAGGGCTACGGGCTAGGCTAGTGTAGTATACAGTAGTGTATCCGGGTGGCATTATTCCCTCAATGAAACGTTTTTCAGGTCAAAACAACAGTGGAACTGTTGTAATCGGGGAATTGCTCACTTGGTACTGATGTTGCCTGGACAGTCTGCACTCATTTGTCTCCATAGAGTACTAGTACAACGCAATGTAGTACTGTAGACAGCCTCCACGGACGTAGTCGTACAGCCACTGTTCTTTGAATTACACAATCGAACAATCCCTGACAGTGTCTAGCCGGCGTGATTGATTGGACGGCCCCCCCACAACCTTTTATATCACACGTAATCTGTACGACTGTGTTACTTAGATACTATCAATCACAACATCCGATTTCGACGAGTCCAAGCAGCGGTTCCTGCAATACTACCGGTAGTGTTTTGATTGGCGGGATTCGTGACCAGTGTTGAGCACTACCTCGAAGTAGTATGGTATGAAAAATGAGCATACTGACTTGAACAGATAGACAACCAGTAGTGCCACGTTGGATGGGTTTTGACCACGGAAACATCAATTGTTCTGAGGAGGCCAAAACCAAACACATCGTGAATGTTCCACAGCGATTGGTCCGTGTATATCATGTAGTAGTAGTATATTCTGCGGGAACAGTCATCCAAGAACGATTAAGACTACTACTGTAGTACTTCTTCGCCGGTACTACTATTAATAGTACAATGTACTGAGTACTACTCCTCAACGCCGTGCCCACAAAAGTAAACTTGCGTACATACTACTACTAGTAGAGCTACATGTATACTAATTACTAGGCCATATTCGACTACGGCACACACACAGCATTCGCATGGAAGTTGTTGCCACGGTAGCCGAGTAGTACTAGGCTGCAAACTCGACTAGATAGATACTCCAATAAACTACTTACAATTACACTACTACCACCGGACGAACTACACAGTCTTCCTGGTCGGAAGCCCCATGATGTTTTGAAAAATGAACGTGTCTTCTGGGGACCAATAATCGACGACAACCCCAAACTCCTCGAGTTTGACCTCTGGCAGCCACGCATACTCGTCGGCCATCGACATGTCATCCGAGTCGCCGGACGACGAGCACGTGTCGGTGCCAGATTGGTACAAGATTTCCATGAGCTTCGAGTCGTACGGCAGGCTCAGGTCGTGTGGCAGCGGCTCGAGCTTGTCATACATGGACTGCATGCGCTTGGCCTTTCGAATTTTGCTATCGGATTTGTTCTGGATGCGGTTGTGCCGCAGACGGTGTTCTTCGCACAACGTGTGGATTTCGCCATTGAACTTCAGCGTCCGCTCGTTTTTGCACTTGCCAGACTTGTACTTGCACTGGCCCCGGAACTTGTTGGCGGCTTCGTCCAGTACGATGGCAAAACTGGACCGGTACGGGCGTTTGCGGGGAGGCGTGGCGGGCGGCGGTGGCAGTAGGCCCAAGTCATACTCGATCGGGCAAGGCAGGTAGGCGCTCATGATATAGATTGTTGGGTGGGTAATGACGTTTTTCGGGTGCAAATTCAATAATGAACCAAGTCCCCAAACAAACAAATCGCCCGGCGACGGCCCATGTGCTTAGGGGACACGTGCAAGTGTCAACACCCGCTACATAACATGGCAAACCGGCCAGATGGACCGTACAAATCGGAATTGCCGAGCACGTTTAGGACTTTTTGGGTGCAGATTCTCGTGTTGGTCGTTAAAGTGGATGCTCGAAATTACAAAGAATGAGGGGATAACTAGGATGTCTCATTGAGAACGGACCAAAACATGCTGGCTGATGCATAAGTTTCCGCAGATACAGTACGATGCAGACAGCACTGATGGGGGGACTCTCTCATCACGACAGGACGGCTGTGGCGATTACGCCACTGGATATGTACTGTACAGTAAACTGGACTGTCCTTGGTTTGTCGATCGACAAAGCTGAGATTGACTGAACTAGGAATGCATGGATGGCTATCCACAGACTATACCGGAAGAAGTGAGTGGTCGGTGGTTCTGGTCCACAGGTTTTTCGACGTGTTCAGCGAGAAGGGATTGTGGAGGCAGGGCATCAGAGTGCAATATGGTTTCGTTCTGATTGGGATGACTTTGCTTTGGGTCATGCAAATGCCGACAACGTACATGCTGACTGCTGTGGGTCAAAAACGTGCTGGGGTGGTGGTGGCGGCACCTGGTACAAAAGTCAATCCAATCACAACATCCAATTCCAACCACAAAGCTGCTTGGACAACCACATGGCGAATGCAACGGGTACAAAAAGAATCCAACCCATCACTACGTAGTACTACTGTGCATATACTACTAGTACTGTACCTACCTACAGTATCAATAATACGGTAGTTGATTCACATCACGCTTTGGGCGCTGATGTTCCTGTTAGCCGTGTACGTAGTAGACTTATGAAGCTCAACCAGCGATGCACTGCTAGCTTGGCTACCAATAATCAATCTACTGGCAATACTACTAGCCAAGAGAAGTGGCTCCCTGGAAGTAGAAGGAACTTCGCACCACATCTCAACAGTATTCCAAGTAATAATCACATGTCGCGTTTCTTCGTGTGGGTGTACCATGTGGTGTCCAACGTGAGCAAGCCAACGGATTGCAAAGTCACTTTGGTGTACGATTGATTGCATTTGTGGTTCAAAGCTGCCCTTATTGCAATGAGCTCTCTGGGCAGCAAGGGTATCACAGACATTTGAACAAGATTCATCACCACGATGTCGTCGTTTAGGGTTGTACATACGGGTACTTCGAAGGACGTGAACCTTACACTGTACGTCATATCCTCAATGAATCGTGATATGGATGGAGCACAGTACATGTACATGTACCAATACCTAACACACCACTTCAAGTACTGTATACGTACAGTACTGTACTGGTAATCGCCAAAAACACCTAACGTTACTAGTATACAGTGGTTAGCTATCGTCATTCAACTTAACTCTTTCTGGACCAACATGCACTTTTGTCATGTCTTCCCTACTTTAACCTTAGCAAGACTTCGTGATGCTTATAGCCAACGAATGGCGTTGGCTCGTGAATGTTTGTACCTACACTGTAGTAAAATAACTACATGTACTGTAATACTTACTACCTGTAAACACATCGCAGCAAAATCTAATCCCAAGCTCTGCACTTCCTTCGTACATTTGCTGGCACATTGCAAATGGCTTGCCCATGTTCCTCGGGGTATGATATCAAAGATCGCTGGAATACCCAAATCGCATCCTACTACATAGTAGCAATGGAGGACCTGTTGAATGCAGAACAATATCCCATGGTCAGTTTGCAGTGTCGTGAAGAATACAACCGACCCCAAACGTTGTACTATTAATAGTACGAAATACTGGTCGTACCAAGTGCACATAGCATTCCACTTGCGAACGACCGATTTCCCCTGAAACATTTCGATGGTCCCAGTAAGGGGGGGGGTATGTAACGTTATATTAATTAGTCCATGAAGTCAAAGTTGGGCTCTCTCACAACACGCTTGTTCCTTATTTACGCTACCATTATACACGTACATACTAGTACGTACGTACGATCGCCTTGAACATGCAACCACCCGACAATTGCCATATAATTGTCATGGCCCTCAAATAACGTTACTATCGTTTCCTCGCTCGG